GGAATTTTCTCATTTTATTAATAACAATTAGCATAAAAATTTTATATTAAAATGTCGATCATTTCTCCAATTCATTCGCGAATCAGCAATTAAAGATTTTATTTTCTGCATGATCTTAGTATTATTGTTATTTGGGTGATGCAATTTATTTGGTAATTAATCCTTAACAAATTTATGAACAACAATATCAAATGTATTGTATAATCATTGTAAAGACATGATAAAATACATAGACACAAAAGATATGTTGTGTAAAAGAGGAGGCCCTGGCACAGATGACAATTTACTGGGTTTTGTATACTATTTTTTATATCATTTATATCCACAAGGCCATGTAGGCATCAATTTCATATTAATTTTGATATCATTAGGTATAACACATTGCTATGTGGTGTGATTCATGTTTCAGGCCACATAGAACTGAAATAAAATTCAATTCACAAATAGACAGAGAACAAAGCAAAAACAGTCTGCATAGCAAAGAGTGCAGTTATCAAAACCAGAAAAATGTAAAAATTAATAAAATTTTCAAATTAAAGATATCTGCAATCTATAAAAATGTTCACATATATTACTAAACTTTTAGCTATGCACTTAAATCTCTTAATGATAGTAGGGACCTGTTTGAAGCTGTTGCTCTAGTAGATATCAGAGAAGAAATCAAGTATGTAATAACACCCAGAGTTAACTACCCCAAAAAACCAAGAGCTAAGGTCATTTCATCTGTGAAATATGCTAAAAATAAGGGGAAAAGTTAGCAGACTGGAGAAGGCACATCATCCCAAAATACAATGAATTAAAGTGCTGTAATTATAACCCTGAGAGTAAGTATTATACCACTGCTAAGATTAAAAATTTTATAAAAGAAATAGAAGAAATCAAAGCTGAAAGTACCCAAGGCAACCAAACCAAGCAATGGGCCAGTTGAGATATATAAAAGACATGAAAGTGGTAAATATCCTGCTGACCCAAAATGAGATTTACAAAAACCAATCATAACAATTATGTTGAACCAGAGAATATGAGAAAGGAAGGAAGTCAGGTATGTATAATGATACAGAAATATGGAAACATATAGATATGCAAGATCCAAAAGATTTTGATAATCTTGGCATTGAACCTGAAAGCTATGGAATTTAAATCAAGTTTCGAATTCATTCTCAGATAGTATTAACTAATTCACCTAGTGATATTTCAATATCAAAAGTCTTTTAAGACTCCATCTTGGGATGTGGTGCACTGACAATAGAAAGAACTCTTTCAATATTCTTTTGTGTCAATCCAAAGATAAATTGATCACCCTTATGTTGAAATGATTTATTAACCTCTCATAGTAAGTATATAGATTCACCATCTTTTTGTTTACAAATATTGAACTCACGTATAGCTCTATTATGACAATCTTCACAGAAAAGCATATTTTTTAATGTTAAATTTTTTTAAGTCTTACTAGGTCAAATAATAATCTGGGTTGGATTTAAATATGTTGAAAGCCTTCTAATAGAATCAAGGGGATCAGCTCTAAAGACAATTTCACATGGAAGTGTATAGAAATATCAATACTGAAATGAGAAAGTAATATTATATGATACTTAATTGGTGATCCTTCTATGAATGAGTGAATGCTATGTAATGATTGGTGGGGGAAAATGTCTAATTGCTACCTTTGTTATATACTTTTGTTCCACTACATTGTTATTTTTTTTATGTGTATAGGTAGAATAAAATACAAAGAATATATATAATTTTTTTCATTTATACTAACAAAGAAAAGTTTACTATTGAGGAGCCATGGATTCAAAGGTTTCTTTAATATAAAAAAAATTTTCTTTTTCTTGTGCAACATATATAGTTCTATAATAATAATAACAAACAGACCATTTGGCTTAATTAGTTCTTGTTAACTATATATTAATATCAAAAATGAAAAACAAATAATTTTCCTTTTTATATGGCCGATCTTTTATTATGTGAATTACCCAAATGTTCAACTCGTAGTGTATGAATGAAAAAAAGAGATAATTTGTTTTTTTAAAAAATACAACAAACAGGTAATAAATAAACTATTGCATTGATCAAAGAAATGTGCAAAACATATAAATACCTCACCTAGCACCAAATATATATATATATGTTTCATGGAAATACACTTGGGATAAATATTCATTATGTCAATATTTTACCACTACAACTGTCTTGCATTGATCAAAGAAATGCGCAAATTATGTAATTATTAATATAATTGACTATTTTGTGGTCAAGTCTAATTTATTACTATAAAACATATAAATAGATGGTCCCACCCACTTCAGCACCAAAAAATATATATTCATGGAATACACTTGGATACATATGCATTTCTATTATTAATGTCAATACTTTTTAACTAGGTAACAAATGGCACTACCAACCAACACCATTATAATCAACTGTCTTGCATTGATCAAGAAATGAGCAAACGATTTAATTATTAATATAATAGACTATTTTGTGATTATACATATGTTAAAAATGAACAAATTGGAAGAATTGAAAATTTTATTTTAGAAAATAAATAAATTAAAAATATCAAGAGATAAAAAAAAAAAAAATTAATAAAAATAAATAAATTTATTTATAATTGATCCAAGGTCATGTAAAATACACTAGTAAGAATTCTTCTATGAGGACAGTATTTCTTTACAGAGTATTCTACAGTATTCATAGATAATCCTTGTCTATATGAAGGATATGTGCACAAATTTTCTAATGGTGAAAGAGGAATAGATACTATAATTAATAATCCATTCTTTGTGAATCT